GGCTGCATTTGTAGCATTCTCATCACTTAAAAATAAAAAGTATAAAACATGTCTCTTATATTCATCTGTTACTTCCATTTTAATGAAAATAAACAACTGAAATGTTCCCAATTCTGAACGTATTATATGAATGAGATCCAATTTAACACTTCAGTGTAAAAAGTATCACATTAGACTGGCATTTTTAACAACAAAACAAGATTTTTCTCAAGGTCATAAAATACGCACGAACTTATGGACTGACCTGATGATTATAATAAAGTTACAATAAATTAACTTAATATATAATTATATATACAGTACCTAATTTATATATAATTATATGTACAGTATCTAATTTATATATAATACTGTACAGACGATAGCAAACTCAATTTAGCCGCTTTGTAGTGTGGCGCAGGGCGGAGGAAAGTAGTTCGGCTGCTCATCCACTATTGGTCCAGATTCTATCAATCTTGTCGTGAAACGAGTCGGCGACGACGTTTTAGGAGCTCCTTTATACGAATGTTGCTACAATTTTTTTGCTACATTATAGGAATTTCTGTTATAGGAACGCACGTTATAGGGGGGTCGACTGTATTACCAAATCTGGAGATAAATCACTAGACCTGATAAAATTGCTTGCAAGTTGCTCATCTGTCTCTTTGAAGTACCCCATTCCAAGTTGTCACTTTGATAAATGACAATGACATACAGTTGTCTTTTTTGGTACCTTCAAAAATGACAACTGTATGTCACATAGTCATTGGTGGTAAATCACATATGGTAAGGAAACACTGTCTACCATAAGTTAGTTTTACAGCACAATATGTCCATCATTGTGTTGAAATGCTTCCTGTAAAGTACTGACTTGTAAACAGAGAGGGAACAAAAGAAGCACCGACCTCGCTAATTGGATCCATGTGTGGTCTGGTGATAGACCACTTGTCAGATGGCGAACTTCTGGTCGTAAACAAGTGGGTCGGATATCGGCAGATGTAAATGTAAACTTCACTCTCATCTGATCAAAGTGGACCTGGGTGAAAGCTGTTCACACAAGGAAGATTTGTAATTAGTCGGAAGTTTCCATCCAAAAAACCTTAAATTGCAGAGCGAATGGGAGAGGGGAGAGAAGGGCTCGAGAATGGTGACATGGAAGTCTCAGACACTTGGAAGACCCACTGAGATTAGAGAGAGCATACTCCTCTGTAAACTATCTCAGGGACATGTAAGTGCTGAGACCAGACGAACCATGCAGTAGAACCACTCCACAGGCTGACTGAGGCCTCTCCAGAGCTCAATAGTTCCCAAAAGCCAAACTGGAACGTGAGGGATTACACTTTATATACTCTGTTGTTCCAACTTGTATACTCTATATATATAGTATATAAACTGTATATATTGTCTATGTTGAGTGTGGAGGTGTGGTTTCATCAAACCTACATTTAACAATATCAAGTCATGCTTAATTCGGCAAACCAACTCAAGACAGAGTTTGGGGAAGAAACTTCACTCTTTCCATGGCAAAATATTGTGAAGGATTGTATATCAATAAAAAAGTGATTTGAGTATCAGTTTGTAAAACAAACCAGTTCCTATATACCAATATATTGATATCAGATCAGTATCTATTAAAACTCTATAAGTTCTATTATTATTTGCCAAGAAGGATGAAAGAACTGCCAAATGTGTTTGTAAACTGCACAGAAAAACTTCAGTACTTTTATAATATAAGATGGATTACAGCAAGGATGTGTGCCTTACAAACTGTAGTGACTGATTAGTAATGTGTTGTTGCATTGTCTTGAGCAAATGGAATCTAGAAGAGATAGAAGATTCAACAACAGCAATGTATGGTAAGGAAAATCACAAATTATAGGTTTGTGTTGACAATAAACTTTTTTTATATCATTGAGAAACTTTCATTGATGTTTTTAAAAGAATCATCTGCTAAGTTTATTTGATTATCATGTTGCCAAACTCTTCACTTGCACACAGAATTGTTATAGAAGAAAGGAGCAATAGAAAATTACAGGACTACAAAGATTACATCTATCATAGGAGTCTATAAAAATGTGGAACTGTCAAATGTGATTATAGGCAGTAAATGTTTTTAATCTGACAGAGAAGAAACTGCTAGCAGTGAAATGATTTTGACATCCTCAATATTGGCATCCTCAATCTATATTTATTTGGAATTCAGTTTATGATCGCAGATATTGTAAATTTTTATAATTATCTGTATTCATTGTAGCAGTTTGTGTTTTTAAGCTTTTCAAATTTTTCAGGAATTGGGTTATGATAAATTTTAGTCTGATGATGGTTCACAGATGTACTTATGTGGGATAAAAGGGATATGGATGGTCAGATCATGTTTGTATAAGTTCTCAGTGTATTCTTTCCATCTGGCTTTGATTTCATTTGCTTCAGTTAAATTAGTGCTGTCACAACCTTTAATGATACCAATCTTTGGTTCACATTTGCTGGTTACAGACCTGATGCATTGAAACAGTTCTCTCACCCATTCCTTTCTTGATTGTTACTCCAAGGCACTGAATTTTTGCTGGAGGAAGCATTATTCTTCTTAGCTTATTGCTTGAATTCTCTGTTTAAGTGATGTACCTCTGATTTGTTCTTCAATTTTCAGAGTTTTGACAGTCAGCCATCTGAATCTTCTTTTCTCTTGTTTAGGGATCTTGTCTCCTGCTTCTTTCAAATCTTGTTGGTTTGTATGGCTGTTTTGCACTCAGTGCTTGGAAGTGTCTTTGCCATTTGGATAGCACTTCTCCATTGCCTGCTTGCAATAATGTAATTAATTTGGTTTTGTATAGTTCATCTGGGAAGTCCATGTAAAAAGTCTGCAATTGTGTCGTTAAAAGCACGTATTGGTGATGAAAAGGGAGTTTTCTTCACAGAACTCTACCAGATGGTCTCCAGTTGCATTCTTTGTTCCTAGCTCAAAAGTGCCTGTTAAATTTCAGAACTGTTAAAAATACACAAAAACTTCATTTAACTCAATGTACTTTTACTTATTAACCATGGCTTCCAAAATGTGTGTATAGGCAATGAAGCACTATGCACATATGGGGGGTATGGAAATGCTGGTTTTCAGTCTCTCTCCTGTTAAAAACACTGATGGACTTGATATTATCCTAAGGGAATGCTGATGAAGTCTGGTTGGCCAACATCTCCAAAATCCACCTCACTGATGGGACCCCTGGAAACCTTTCTTTTAAGGGCAAGATCAAACGTGGTACATGGTCAGAAGAAGACAATGGCAAACCATTTCTAAAACCTTGCCAAGAAAATGATGGAAAATAAGAAGAAAATTTCAAATGGAAATTTCAGTCTCCATTTGGAATTTTTGAACTAAAGGATACAAAATGTATGGGGTATTCAAAAGCTGTTGACAAAGAAAACTTGTGGGAGGAAATTGTAAAAAATCAAAAAATAACACATTAAAAATAAAGTGAAAAAAAAAATGAAAACGTACAAGCATAATGTGAGAGTGAGAGATGACTGGATACACTGTAAAGTACTAAGTTATTTTTACGCCTTTTACAACGATTAACGACATGACTGTGTGCTGGAAATAGCTGTTACCTAACGGGTACTTTACATGGATTTGAGTTAATGTGCCAGGCCTGGACTTTAAGCGTGCACCGAAAGAAATAATGACATAGTTAGTCAAAACCAATCCAATATTTAATAATTCTAATAATGACTATGTACAAAAATTAGTAATAATCAAACAACAAATTTATTCAAAGAAAATCAATAAGAATCAACCCGACAAAAAACTCAAATCAATCTATTTGCTAACTTAAATCTATTTCCCTTTGGAACTCGACAAAACATTCAAAGACTTAACTTATGTACAGCAATTCTTATGAACTAAGGTCCTAATCGTCACCTCAATATACTAGGAACCTTTTTCCTCAACTCTCAAGACTTTCTAATCTTTGATCCACAAGTTGAATAACTTCAAATTGCCTTGGAACCACTTTATCGCTATCGGACACCTCTTGTTGTTTGCTGCTACGAAGCTCACCAAGCTCAGAAGCTCACCTCAGTCTTCACTTGAGGTTCGGACTTTATACTATTGATATGAGGTGACGTCACAATTCTGATTGAGATCACTCCCTTCATTTACATACTTATCGCTAACAGTAAACTTTTTCCTTTCTGCCTGGCAGCCTATTTCCCAACAATTCTCGTTAACCTTTTACATTATTCTTTTTTACAATTTTTCAGGATGTTTTATTGTTTAAGGTTTAGCAAGTTACTAAGTTGTGCTTGTGGTCTCTCCCCCCTCTTTCTCTGTGCGGACTTACTTTTTTCCACTCGGGAGCGTAAGTGTGCACGAGTTTTTTCTACAGCGTTTTTTTTGTCAGTGAGTTTGTTCTTTTTCTTCTACTTTTAAGTTTATAAGGTGAGTGGTGAGGAAACCTTCGTCCTAACAAAACATAAGCCCCAAACAAAATAGAATAAAAAGCAAAATAAAAAATAACTAAAAATAATGCTTGGACTTGGTTCCTTACAACACAACAGATTGCATTTACACTATAAGTATGTTTTTTTACTGCATGCACAATACTAACACCAAGGGAAATTTTTGTTGGATTAGCATTTGAAGTACAAAGTATCACTGTATTTAGTAATTCACAGATAAACTGAAGATGAGAAATAATTTTTATCATTAGAAAATTAGTTATATTAATTAAAATTTGCAATATCACATTCAGTGTGGAGATTTTTGTTATCTGTTTTTTCACTTGACAAGAAAGTTTTAAAAAATTATTTAAATTTAAAATTTTTGAAAAAATATCACACAAATTATTTAACAACAGTTTCTGTGTATAAATTATTTTTTCATTATTTATTGTTAAATTGGTATAGTAATTATTGTGAGAGTGTAAATGAATTTATTTATTTATTTATCTTAAGAAACATTGTTTATTTTTAATTTGATAATTCCCTTTTATCTCACAAATTTTATTGATTAATTTTTTCCCCCCTAGAAAAACTATGGAACAAGAAAGAATATAGAATCTAAAAAGGCAAATTTTACCACAAATACTGCAAATAGATTATTGCCAGCAAACAATCCATGTTTATTACTAGGTCCAGATGATAAAGAAGTAGAGACTTATATCAGTAATGTAAGACACAAAGCTGATATAAATTTTTCAAGTTCGCTTGATACTAATGAAGATGAACAGAATTATCAATTTTCTGAAAGGCAAGAGATGCATAATAGTTCATCTAATAGTGTATTAAAAAATCATGCATGTGGTGTACCCTTTAACAAATATGGAGAATTACCATCAGATGATATTTATAACACAAGTGAACTTAATGACAATAGAGTTAAGAAAGTTAAGAATCATCAGAAATGTAATCTCTCATTTATTTCAAAACAACATAATGTCAGTGATAAAATAGAAAATAATATGATGCAAAAGCCATTAAAAAATACCTGTTCCAAAAAAGTGATTTTAAATAATAGGATCAGTTCAATAGAGGAAAATGGTCATAAAATGTCACATCCATCTACTTCTACTGCAAATAATTATTCAAATGAGTCATCAAATGCAAATATTTTTCACTTGGATCTAAGTCCTTATAAAAATAATTCTCTTTTACCAAATAATTGTGAAAATAATACAAATAGTTTATTGAATTATCCAAATATGCATTCAACTCCAAATTTGAGTAAAAAAACAGAAACAAGGAAGCAGAAATATTTCAGGAACTGTAAAAATAAATTTAAAAAAAACATAAAATCAAAAAATAATTATCATCAATGTAAATGGACTAAAAGAAAAAGACAGAGTGAACTGTTAGGATCATCTTCAGTAAGAAAACAAGAAGTGTATAAGAAGAAAGGTAAATTTTTGTTGTCAACTCCTAAAATTTAAGTTATTCAAAAATGTTCTTACATTATTGTTTAAAGAAAAAGTTTATTTTAAACATTGAATTAAGATTTTTCTTAAAATTATTTTTTGAGAAAAATTGACAATGTTTCATANGTACTATTTGTATATCAAAGATTACTGTTTGTTGATTTTAAGCTACCTTGTATTTACTAGATTTACATACACGTAATAATGATAAATGATGATAAAATAAAAAGCTCATATTTCATTTGTAAATTGTTTATTTTTTCATTACATTGAAGTTGTGGATTCTATCAAGCATTTTTCTGCAGGATGTATGTACTGTATTTTTTTAATGTGACAGTCTTTGAAACATATCAACTGTGCAAAAAGAGGGATAGTTGTAGTTATTGTTCACAGTAAATAAAATGCTTTATTATGTTGATATTCCACACCATAAGAAATGTTAGGGTCAGGGAAAGTTGGGGAATTCAAAACAAAAATGTGAGTATGAACCCTGTATAAAGTTGACAGTTTCTTCTATCTTGTAGTCCAAATTTCATCATTATACTTCTATCCTGGCAAGAATATATAAAATATTTGTTACTTTTTTATCCATGCAATTGATTGTGAAATTTAGTTCTATTCAGTTAAATTTTTTCAGTTACATTAGTTGGAAATATTCTTTTTTATTTGTATTTAATAATAGTTTTGTTTATATTTATTTATGTTGATTGAGCCTGGGTATCAATCAGCATAAATAAATGTTTGATTGCTTTTTAAATCTCTGCATTAAAACCTTCTGGGACCTGAGGGGTTCAAATAGATACTTTTTCCCCAAATGAATCTGTAACTCACCATGCAAAATGTGTAATGATAGTCTAAGCAACAACATAAAAAAGGATACACTTAGAACATCAAAAGTTTTAGCAAAGCTGTAACTATCAAAAATTGAGTTCTATAAAGGTTAACAAGAACCCATTAAATGAATAAAAGTACAAGCTGCCTCTCTAAAGTATCAAAATCAGAAGCTCAACCAATGAGTAAGTTTTTTGATACTTCTTATGAAGAGACAAGCATGGAGACAACACAAGCATCACCACCTCCAAAACAAAATGCTCCTATAAAATTAAAGAAGGATCATTACCAAAACTGCTCCCTTAAAATAATCCATAGAACTGTTGAGGTTTCGAAACAATCTCTCTTTGTTAAACAGATGTCATTATCTATTCCAGCTCTGTGTGATACTCCAGAAAATACATTTGAAACCTGGAAAAATAGTGTCAATAAAGGGATTAGATTCCATCACAAGGATGATGAAAGCCATAACCATGTTAGTTGGGGGTATGGCTAAACTGATTTCAAACAACATACCATACTTTCCAGTACAAATAACCACAGACTTACTAACAGTGGTAGCAGTAGAATTTCATTTAGCTTAACTGTAACCATTTTTTTCTATATATCTGCCATCAGATGTCAGAATAAATCAGAATGCCTTGATTGAACAGCTACCAACTTTTTCTTCCTACTTGGAAATTTCAATGGCCACAATCCAATATGAGGAAGCCCCAATATTAATTGTTGAGATATAGAAAGACCTATAGTTACAGGTCTTTCAGTGGCTCTATACTTAAGTATATACATAGATCATATACTTAATCTTTCAGTAAGCATTGTTTTCAATTTTGTGGTTTCATGACTTTTTTATAATCAATTGTTTTTCTAACAATCTTTTTTATCTGTATTTAATCTGATTTCCTGAAACTAGTTGAAGGTATATGTTCAGATGTTTCAGCTACAGGTAATATAGATACTTGAACAATGAAGCAAAAGCACTAGGCTTAGGTTGGTGAGTTAAGGATGCTATTGTATTTGTCTTTAAATTCAAAGTAGTTTTTTCATTTTATTGTAACTCACAATTCATTGCATCATCATTATGAATATTGTTGCTTCTTGATTATTTGTTATGGAACTGTACATTGATGTGGATGGTGGTTGTGGTATTACAAAATCTGTAACAGACCTGCCTTATTTGGCTGATTCCTGCCTTTCTGCTTTTTGTTGCTCTTTGCATTTCACTGATCCAGATTTATGCTTTTTCTTTTCCATTCTGGTAGGAATAGGGTTACTGAAATAAAAACTTATTAAAAATACTCCATGTTGGGAAAAATAAACATCTTTAATTAAATACTGAATCTAGCATTTGCCATAAGTTGCTATTTGTACATTTGCATTTAATAATAAGTTATTTTTGTTGTTTTGCTGTATTCTGCATTTTGTTTGTAAACTGTAATAGTTGTATTATAGAAAATTTCTGCAGTGTAGTAGTGACATCCATTGTGTATTTCTGCTAGAAATACATAATGAAGGAAAACATCAATAGAAATATGTTTTATAGATGCATCTATTACTGTATTAACAAATCACAGTAATTTTAACTGTAGAGTAAATAAAAGGTATCTTTATTTATTGAACTTGCATTATGCATGTACATTATTATTTGAGATTGTAGCTTAATCTGTCCCATGTTGTTCCCAAATATTTTCGTGTTGACCTCANACTTCTACAGACACTTTCAATTTTTACTTAGAAATAGATAAATTCATTTATTATAAAGGAGACAAAAAAAAATTATTTGAAAAACACAAATATTTGTTTTATTTGGGTCTCTAATTAATAAGAAAATGACGAAACACCATTTTAAAGTGCATTTTTATTCAACTAATATATTTATGAATAATATGTAACCCAGAAAGTAGCCAATGCACCAAATTATAATTTTTACGCCAAACTAGAAAAGGGTAGCCAAATCTTGCAATGCTGGAAGAAATACTAAATAATGCTGGAGTTGGAACTCAAAGGATTATAGACCCAAATTTGAGAAAAGAGGAGAAAGGCCAAAAGATAAAAAGTAGTGAGGAAGGTTGAAAAATTAAGGGTCAATATTTGCAAAACAGAAGGTCTATTTAACCTTCCTCACTACTTTTAATTTTTTGACCTCTCTCTCCTTTTCTCAAATTTGGGTCTATAATCATTTGAGTCACGGCAGCTGGATGGCCGAGTGGTCAAGGTGGCAGCCTGCCGCTCTGGAGGACCCGGGTTTGAAACCTCCGAAAAATCCCCAGGATTTTTTGGGGGTGATCCGTTCGAATGTGTCAGGCCCCGTCCCTCACCACCCATCAACTTCATTGTGGGCCTGGCCGAACCCATAATGGGCTTGCAAAAAGAGGCCCTCTTAGTGCTCACAGGGTGGAAAGAGCTTTAAAAAAAACCTTTGAGTCACAACTTCAGTTTTATTTAGTATTCATCTCCAAATATTTGAAAATATTTCCTTTTCACTCAAAAATAAAATATGTATAAAATTCTATGGCTTTGTGAAACTTCTTTTTTGAGTTTATGCTGTCGAAATAAATAAATAAATTAATTAAAACAATTTGTCGGTTTTGTTTACACGTTTTTTGGGCCTCATTGGAACTTGCCTTGGGCCGCGGGTTGGGCACCCCTGATGTATAGTATTAACACTAAAATGCTCAGAACGGACAAATTGTCCTTAAAAGAGCTTTAATTAGCTCTCATTTTATAAATTATCATTAGCCCAGTAAATGCTTTGTGACTTTTCATTTTTTTATGTAAACTATTTATTATCATGCATATAATTCATTTTACATATTTCACTTTTGTGAAATATTATCTTAGACATCCAACAGGGACAATTTGTCCTCTGTATAAAAGTTGGTTAATCTAAACAAAACATTTTTTAAAGTTTAGTTATATGCTAATTTCAGTATTGTTTTTCTTCAATCATTTTTTTTTTCATTTGTATGTGTTTTATTTCTTGCAAAATAAATTAGTTTAATTTCAAATCTGTTACTTTTTGTTCTCATCTGTTGTTTTCTTCTGTTTATTGTTTTTCCTCTATTTGTATATGTATTGCTTTAATAAAGATCCAGTTTTCATTCACATGCTTCGTTTTATTGTTTTTATTTATTTACTTGCTTTTGTGTGGACATATTTTTTAAATATGGCCAGATTCAGTATTCATTTAGTTGCTTAGAAGTTTTTAGTATGAAAGTTTATAAGTGAACAAATTATTTTTAAAAAATTACAGATTGTTCCTGAAAATGAATCAGATGGTGGAGAAAATAAATCAGATGGTGGAGAAAATACATTATGATTCTAAACCCAATCTCACTGTTTTCAGTGAGATTGGGTTTAGAATCATAATGTATCTCACAGAGCCACTAAGTATTCAGGACATCAGATTTTCTGTATGACAAATTTCAATACAAAAGTCGATGATTATGATCAATACATTGCACCAGACAGAACAGTTTACGACATAACAATTGATATTTATCAAGCCAAAAACAGAATATATATCTTTGTTTTTTTAATCCTGCAGTAACTAATGTGATTAGTGAAGACACTTGAACTGTATTATATTATAAAAACACAACTTGGTGCTGATATTCTAAATGGCCAGGTAATATTATGTCAACACATTGTCTAAAAATGGCCTCTGCATTCTTTATTAATACATTAGATATAGTTTCAATTAATGCATGTTTTATATACAAATGTATCAAAATTGCTTGAAGTGAATTTATACAGAAGCTCACTGAAATAGTTGTATAAGAATCTATCTCCATTTTCAAGCACTATTTAGTAAATTGAAGACGATGTTCTCAAACAAACAAACAAGAAAATGCCAATTTTTAGAAAATTGCAAAAAGAAAAAAAAAAACACATGGAAGGTCATTGAACAAAATGCTTGCCTGCAATTGCTGTACACATAAAACTCGTCATTATTGTCTAAATTGTATAAAAATAAAAATAAAAGTTTTATTCAGTTATTAGAGAGGTTGANATGCATCTATTACTGTATTAACAAATCACAGTAATTTTAACTGTAGAGTAAATAAAAGGTATCTTTATTTATTGAACTTGCATTATGCATGTACATTATTATTTGAGATTGTAGCTTAATCTGTCCCATGTTGTTCCCAA